TGAAGCGAGCAGAGAGTTTTAGGAAACTCTGAGCTTTGAAAACACCCGCTCCGGCAAGCACTTGCCTTTGCCCTGTGAAGAGCGGGAGCAGGAACCTGGCCCCGGGAGCCGCGGGGTGGCCGGCGGGCTCTGGCCGGGAGTTAAAAGCATCTCGGAGAGTTGGTGTTCGCTCAGTGGGCGGCCTCCGGGTCCCGCCACTAAATTTGCCAACGCCTTTGGATAAAAATGATCTGCCGCGGATGTTGGATTTCTTCATAATGAAGGATTTTTAAATTTTATAAAACTTACTCTTCAAAAGCCCAGTTTATAGAAAAGCGTGGCGTTTCTCTCTAGAACCGCTGGGTGGCGCTAGTGCGAACCGAATAATTTTCCAGAACTCAGGGCCAAGAACCTGTTTCTCTTCATTGTCCCCTTGGTGGCATGTTCACGGGGTTTGTTTTACATTGTGCACAAAAGCATTGCAAGGAAAATCAGGTACAGGCAGGGCCGCTACCTATTAAAGTACTTTTCTAGAAACAGCTGCCGATTTCCTCCAAAAGTTTAATTACCGTTATTGAGAGAAAGCTCTTTCTGAGAAAGCCTCCTGCGATCTTGGAGAGAGGGCTAAAAAATAAACCCCAAAGTAAAAACTACTTTAAGATCTGTACAGTAAAGTACAGAATCTGAAAATACCTTCATGTCAATTGAGTTATTCGTCGTTGTATTTATTTGGGAAGCATACCTTTTTGGGTCTATCCACCTCTTATGTTTTCAGGTGGGGTTACATTTGCTGATGAACATACATTTAAGGACATCAATATTGTCTGTTAGATTACCAGATAAGCAGTTATATGTCAGGGTTCTGTATTTCCTAACAGCCTAGCTAGTCTCTGGATTGCTTAGGGTGAGGATTCCACTTGCTGGTGATTTGAATAGGAGCTCAGGCCACTTCCAGGGGTTTAATTTTGACACAGTCTTCTCGGCCCACCAGAGAAGATCAGATCCCTACGGAAAGAGCTTTCTTACATCTCAAAGCCCAGAATTAGGAAGCAGAATAGCACTGAGAGAAAGTAAGTAGAGTTTGGCTTGGGAATTTGAAATTATTCCAAACTACCCATGTAGTTTCCAAGGCTAGGCTTTGGTAGAAGGGGCAGCTATCAGTTGTGTGTGTGTGTGTGTGTGTGTGTGTGTGCGCAACCATTTTTTTCAGTTGTCAGAGGACTGCAAACAGGTAACAGAATTCACGCAGGTTTTTTTTTAATAGCTTGCAGAGCTGTGTGTGTAGTCACGTTAAAGATAAATGTATGCTCCACGTTGTTCTGTTGTACACGTTATTTTCAATTTATTTTTTTTTCTCGGGGTTTTATTTAGCTGGTGTGTTTTCTTCTTTTAAAATATTGCCATTGTCACAAGTAGGTGGAAAGCGTTACCTCTAAATAAAATGACAGAAAGCCATCTTTTGGCACCAACTTTTAAGACAAAGCCAGTTGTGGGGAGATGAGTAATTGGGATGGGGGATTCTTATGGGTATATAGGCGATTTACTCTATGGGTGAGAGTTTAACAGCAGCCAACACAATGCCTACTGCTCTGCGGCCAGAGGCGCCTGCCAGACCTCAGCAGGGTGGTAGCCTAACTGGTGCCAAGCTGATCACCCAGCAGGCCTGTGTGGAACCTATATCACCTTAGCGGTGAAGTGAAGAAGCAGAGGCTCAGACTTAAATTCTCTTTTCCGTGTTTCAAAATGGATTTGGCCCAAAGGCAGTTTGTCCAGGCTGGTCTGGGGTGAATACTTGGGTACAGCCTACCGTGGATGAAACCGAAGGGGGACCCCTAGATCCAGGCATGTAAAGCGATTATGCATCTTCCCGGGGACATATTTTCTGTGAATGCTAATCTTTCCTGCCTGCAGCGCTAGGATGTCCCCCCTGCCGAGTAAGCCTTCTTTGCTTGGCCAGGGAAGGGCGCCCAACAGTTTGCCCTGGCTGGGGAGTTCCTGAGCTAATGTTGTTCGCTCGCCCTGGGGCTTGCCGCTGGCCAGCCAAACTCCTGGACGCACTACTAACCCCGCCCTTCGGGGCCTCTTCACTCGCTGTCTCCGCTCCAGGCCTACTCCTCTGTCCCTGTCAGCAACATGAACTCCGGCCTGGGCTCCATGAACTCCATGAATACCTACATGACCATGAACACCATGACCACGAGCGGCAACATGACACCGGCTTCCTTCAACATGTCCTACGCCAACCCGGGCCTAGGAGCCGGCTTGAGTCCCGGTGCTGTGGCCGGCATGCCCGGGGGCTCTGCAGGCGCCATGAACAGCATGACGGCGGCAGGCGTCACGGCCATGGGTGCAGCGCTGAGCCCGGGAGGCATGGGCTCCATGGGCGCGCAGCCCGCGGCCTCTATGAACGGCCTGGGCCCCTACGCGGCCGCCATGAACCCCTGCATGAGCCCTATGGCGTACGCGCCGTCCAACCTAGGCCGCAGCCGGGCCGGGGGCGGTGGCGACGCCAAGACGTTCAAGCGCAGCTACCCACACGCCAAGCCGCCCTACTCCTACATCTCGCTCATCACCATGGCCATCCAGCAGGCGCCCAGCAAGATGCTCACGCTGAGTGAGATCTACCAGTGGATCATGGACCTCTTCCCCTATTACCGTCAAAACCAGCAGCGCTGGCAGAACTCCATCCGCCACTCGCTGTCTTTCAACGACTGTTTCGTCAAGGTGGCACGGTCCCCGGACAAGCCGGGCAAGGGCTCCTACTGGACGCTGCACCCGGACTCCGGCAACATGTTCGAGAACGGCTGCTATTTGCGCCGTCAGAAGCGCTTCAAGTGTGAGAAGCAGCCGGGGGCCGCAGGCGGGAGCGGGGGAGGCGGCTCGAAGGGTGGCCCCGAAAGCCGTAAGGACCCCTCCGGCGCAGGTAACCCCGCCGAGTCGCCCCTTCACCGGGGTGTGCACGGAAAGGCTGGTCAGCTAGAGGGCGCGCCGGCCCCCGGGCCCGCCGCCAGCCCCCAGACTCTGGACCACAGCGGGGCCACGGCGACAGGGGGCGCTTCGGAGTTGAAGTCCCCAGCCTCTTCCTCGGCGCCCCCCATAAGCTCTGGGCCAGGGGCGCTGGCATCTGTACCCCCCTCTCACCCGGCGCACGGCCTGGCACCCCACGAATCGCAGCTGCACCTGAAAGGGGACCCCCACTACTCCTTTAACCACCCGTTCTCCATCAACAACCTCATGTCCTCTTCGGAGCAGCAGCACAAGCTGGACTTCAAGGCCTATGAGCAGGCACTGCAGTACTCTCCCTATGGTGCCACCTTGCCCGCCAGTCTGCCCCTTGGCAGCGCCTCAGTGGCCGCAAGGAGCCCCATCGAGCCCTCAGCACTGGAGCCGGCCTACTACCAAGGTGTGTATTCCAGACCCGTGCTAAATACTTCCTAGCTCCCAGGACTGGGGGTTTGTCTGCATGACCAACCTGGTAGCAGGAGAGAAAAACCAACAGCAAACGAAACCACACAACACCAAACCAACCACATAACAAAAATCCCAACTCTTTTTATTTTTTTCATGCACAATTTTCCCCAGTGCAAAGGACTGTTACTTTTATTATTGTATTCAACATTTGTTGTGTGCATTATTACAAATACAACCGACTCCATACCAACATTTTTTTTTCCTGCGAAGTTTAATGATCCATAAATGTATATATAGAAAATCTTCCTCCTTCCTTGCCCTGTCCCCGTTCAGTCTTTCCCCTGTGGGCACATCCTAGTCTGTGCAGGGCTTATTTAAAAAAGAAAATGGTCAAGTCTGTAAACTATTTGTTTGTGCTTTTTTTTGTTGTTGTTTGTTGTTGTTGTTGCCCCTCCTTACCTTGGCCCATCACAAGAGTTTACAGGTCTGTGGCAATACTCTTAACTCAGTAAAGAAACGAATAGGTAGTAAGGGCTCTTGAGAGTACTGAAAACCAGTACTGCCATGATGCCACGGTAAGGTATAAACAGGTTACATACGTGAGAGCCATTTGTTTTCAGCTTACATTTCCGATGCATTCAGATAGTGGATGCCTTTAAATGAAATACATATATATATATATTGTCTGTGGACTTCGTCACGCTCACATACGAAGACCTCGTCCACTTTTGCATAACATGTAGAGGTAGATAGGTAATAGACGTGCAACATTTTCAAAAATTGCCTGACCAAGTTACAAGGATCCCCTACACACTCGTTTGCCTCCTCCACCCGCACATGACCCCGAGAACCAATTCCCTTCTAACTCTGCTCCTTGCCCTGCAGAGTGCCATGGTCATCTCATTCTGAGGTCACATGTATAAAATTAGCTTTTGTGTATGTATACCATTTAAAGGATACCCCGCAGGGGAAAAAAAAAGGAAGTATATTATTGAGGAGAGAGAAGTTATAAGAGACACATTGCAAAATCGTGTCCTACGTTCCAAAGTCCCCTTCGTGGCCATTTTGGTTCTTGCCGTCACATGCTCCTTCACCCAGTGTTAACGCACTTTCTACAGCTGGACGTGGTGTTAGTCTTAGACCAGCGGGTTTCACTCGGATTCCTCTTCGCCTCCTCAATGTTAATTTATTGCATGTTTTCTCCTGTTCCTTTACAGCTGAGGTTGCTTTAAATGATGGTTAAAATTACAAATTTAAAAATGTTAATTTCTATCAATGTGATTGTAATGAAGCTATTTTGATTTAAGTAACAAAAATAATACAAGATTTTAATCTGTGGAATATGTTCCCGATCATTTGCAGTTAAGGAATTTAAATAAATCAGATGTTAACAACAACGAATTTCTGTCATTTTCCTTCACTTAAAATCCAAAAATAGATTTTTAATTAAAATTCAAAATAGATCTTCTGAATAGGATATTTTTCAGATTCTGGTATTTTATGTAAAAGACAAACAGGGATATAGTCTAAAATAAAATGATTTCATCTACAGTTTAAGCAAATGTGTAGCTACTAAAGTGTAGTGAAAGAAATTGAATTAAAGTAGGTAGACAACCTACTTTATTTACTTTATTCTACTTTATTCCAAGAACTGATATTTTTAAAATTCTTTATTCCCGGAAGGTTTACTTCAGTTTTTGTGTGGGGGTGGGGTATGGGGGTTTTAAGCCTTCGATATTTCTTTTTAGGGTGTTTTTTTTCCCCTCTCGTTTGAAATTAATTTATTAATTCTCTATTTTTTTCTAATTCGAGAAGTATTTGAATGAGAAGAAAATAACAGCTGTGGCGGTTAAAATTAAGTTATCTACCAGAGACTCTGAACCCTCCTATTAAAGGAGAAACAAAACTTAGCCTATCTTGGTCGGTTTGGAGGGTGGGAGGAGGGCAGTTAATTCATTCCTGCGGGGGAAGCTTTGTGACTGTTTCAGGGTAGCTGCTGTTTTGTGTTTTGTGAAGATATTTTTAAAATATTGTTTCTAAGAACTTAAACCTGATGATTTGTTTGCCTTGTAAGAAGCTTTGAAATGCAACTTCACACCCCCATAGTTGCTTGAGATCACAAAATCATTAATCTCCTTTGATAGTAGGCTCACTTTCCAGTCCACCTATTTCTTTGTAAGACTTGTTCGGATTGACACCAACAATAACAGCAGCACCAGCCCGAGTCGAGGCTGGCCTGCCAGAGCCCTTGTGTGTGAACTCCATCCTCTCCAGGGCTTGAACTTGGGCAGTCTTTACTTTGATCGCAGCACTCCACAGCACAGACAAGATAAAAAGAGCCGTGCCAGTCGCTTAATTATCGCGTAATTACCTCCCTAGATGAGAGAAGGGGTGCCGCGTAGCACTTGAGAAAAATCCAGAAATCCCTGCTCTGCTTTCTGCGAGTAATGAAAGGAGGAGGGAAGAGAAATTGCTGGCGTGAGTAATTTCAAAACTTAATTCGAAGTCCGCTGAAGGACTAACAAGCATACCCCAAAGACGAAAGGGCTTTCGATCTCAACATATAACGGATAAACAAACGCGGGCACATTCAAACTCTTAAGTAAAATAAACGTGTCATCCTCGGCCTGTGCATTTCTCATGCGGCCCTGAAAGGAGGTTTGATTTTTATGCAATCTCTTCCTCCTCCAGCTTTGTGGAGGCCTTAGTTCTTGCTCCTTGACTCTCCGCACAGGGTTTTCTGGGTTTGCGGGAACCGGGTGTCTGTGGTCCAGGCCTCTTCAGTGACGGGGGATGCGGGAAGCGAGAACCACAGCTCTGTCTTAGCTCACAGGCTCCTGCGCGCCTTGCTCGGGTCCGGTGGGTTTCTCGCCCGGTTCTGCGACTATGCTCTCTGCCACCTCGGGACGACGCGCGCCTCTAGACGCAGGCGGACTGGGGGCCCAGGACAGATGGTTGCTGGGGAAGAGGGGGCAGAGCGAACCGCGCAAGCATCCCGAGGTGACAAATGCAGTTAGTTCTTCATTGTTTGGGCATTTTCCCCTCCTAGCGAATAAATCTTCTGTTGAGCCACAGACCTAAAAGTCAACAAAGGAGGCCGGGCGCCGGGTCTCTGGCCCACCCCGCGGCCAGCCTGGCCGAGCCGCTCCCGCTGCGTAATCCCTTCCTCGGAAACCCGGACACACAAACGCGGGATCGCCGACCAGGGCGCAGCACTGGGGCCAGGAAGAAAACATCTGTGCTTCCAAGGGCGCGCAGGGACCCTCCCGAGAGCACCGCCTGCAAGCGACCCCGACAGCCTCCACCTCCGCCTCTGTCTGGCTTTGGTCCCCGGGACCCTGATTTCTCCACCGACGCTCCCATGGCCAGAAAGGGGACGTACAGGCTGCAGTCCACTCCCAAAGATGAGATTTTAGGAATTTTGCTTGTAGTGGGGGAGGGGCCGGAAGCGAGGGCAGCAAAGAGGGGAAAAGCTTCCAACTGACCCAAGTGGAAAGCTCCAGGGGCCCTCTGATCCCTCTACCACGCCGCGGAGCAAACAGTCACACAGAAAAGCGTTTGGGGGGGGAGAGCGCACAGCGCCGATGATTACTTTTCACCTTGTGTTTGGAAGCTCAACTCTGAAACCTTTTTAAACACGATTCAAAACAAAAAAAAAAAAAACAAAAAACAAAAAAAACCCCAAAAAACCCAAAAGCAAAACAGAACAGAACAAAACAAAAAGAGCACAGGATAAATAATGACGGTCTATTTAAGAAAACTAAATAACTCCGAAGCGTTCCCAAGCAGACGACAGTTCAAGCCGATTTCTGAGAGATCGGCTGAGACCACTTTAAATTTCAAAGATAAAATTCAGTTTCTGTTGTCCCTTCGTGGCTCTCCGCCCTGCAGAATAGACGAACGGGAAATAATAAGCGATGAAACAAACACAAGCTAGTGAAGTTCTTAATTTATGCTTTCTTTTTTCAGAAGGCGGATTTTATCGAAACTGCTAAGCATTTTTTCTTGAGTTTACCGTTTTGAATGCGCCACTACAGGAGAGCATTCTAAGTATGATAAAATTATAAAATTCTCTTGTTTTGTCATTTAAAATATTGATCTCAGTTCCAT